GAACTGAAATTGTACGGTAATGTCCCCTGCCCGCATGCACTCCTGCAAATTTAAAATCACCCAATTGTAGTTTTACCGAGCGCTCACGCATGTCGATTATTTTCCCATCGAACGAAAATGTAAAACAGTTATATTTTTAGTTGGCAAGCGTTCGCTCGGCTGAACTTCACAAAACGCATGATCGCATCGATTGCCCTAATACGTGTTGCTGGTTATTTATTTTTCTCGTACAGTACATGCTGATTGATTGCCATGAAAACATATTTTGAACTTATCTTTCTCTAAGCATATCGAAACCAATTTTGCCAATATCGAATGGAGTAACGAGGGCAGTACGGGCCGTAACGGCCCAACGAGCATCATATCAAGGAAAAGCTGTAAACAGCCCACGGACAAGACTATAAATAACGGTCAATACAGTCAAGGGCAAAATCGGAAGAACAGTACGGGCAACACAGGCTCTCTCAGGATCATATTAGTAAAGACTATGAACAGCCAGTCCGGAGGGCTGTGATCACCAGCAATAAAATCGGGGTCAGAAAGTAAAATATAAAAAAATAAAAAACGGTTAACTCTGACAATTTGCATGTTTGTGTGTTGCTGTGCTGCCTCTACCATGTGCTAGGCTAAGTCGACCAGATTGCCCATATTCGTGCTATGTTCCTCATATTAATTGGTGTCTTAGCTTGCTTTTTTCATACATAATGCCGCGTTTTACATCCTTCTGCTTTCCAGCCTTATTTGCGCCAATTCTTCGCGCATAAATGTTTGACCTTCAGCTTTTTTAAGGTTTTGTGCGTTTGCAGATGTAGCAAGAAGGGAGCGAAAAAAGAGAAAATGGCCGAATTTGATGATTTCGGATTGTTGGCGCAGATGGCACGTCGTGAGCTCATTCACTTGCTTGAGCTGATGCCCGAAAAAAAGGATTTGGCCGTGGAGCCGTGTTTGATGCGTCCACTGGACAAAATTGCCTCCATGTCAATACTGCAAGAGCATAATTGCGCTCACGTGGAACAGTTTTCCGAGCGCACGATTCTTACTTGGGGTGAGCAATCTTCACGGCGTGTTTACATTGTACGCCCGACAGTTGCTGCAACAAAACGTATC